AGAGTTAGCGAGTACTTTCGACTATAAGTCTTTATCAAGCATTGACTCGTTATTTACTGTATGTATATTTGCCTATACAGCATCACCTTTATATATATATATATAGGTACATATAATATAAATCAAGATAACCGTTAACACTGTTAAATCATATATAATAAATCATCAAAAAAAGGTAAATACAGTGTTTTAATAAAGGACAATAATACTTCGCGTAGCATAGCTCTCAACGAATGTAGTCCTGTAAATAAATGAATAAAGAAATTGTGTAATAAAATTCCTCTGGCGGGACTCGAACCTGCGACCTCTCGCTGTCAAGGCGAGCGTCATAACCATTAGACCACGGAGGCTTCATGGTTGAACAGATTCAAATACCACCAGATACACTCCATTACACAATAGGTACGGCTGGAAACAATATAGGTACATATAATATAAATCAAGATAGCCGTTAACACTGTTAAATTATATATAATAAATCATCAAAAAAAGGTAAATACAGTGTTTTAATAAAGGACAATAATACATCGCGTAGCATAGCTCTCAACGAATGTAGTCCTGTAAATAAATGAATAAAGAAATTGTGTAATAAAATTCCTCTGGCGGGACTCGAACCTGCGACCTCTCCCTGTCAAGGCGAGCGTAATACCATTAGACCACGGAGGCTTCATGGTTGAACAGATTCAAATACCACCAGATACACTCCATTACACAATAGGTACGGCTAGAAACAATATAGGTACATATAATATAAATCAAGATAGCCGTTAACACGGTTAAATTATATATAATAAATCATCAAAGAAAGGTAAATACAGTGTTTTAATAAAGGACAATAATAAGTAAAATATATATATATATATATATGACACCTGTACAGTATTAAGTAATATGAATACTTGCCCAATATGTTTTTAAATATATACATTACTAAATTAAATAATATACTAGTACATTACTAAATTAAAGGCAATGTTTTAATAATTTAATTTTAAATAAATGGAGGAGGTACATGGAACATGCTGTGAAATCTAAACAAAATATCTCATTACTGGGCTATCCATCGACTGGTTATACCATGGTTGGAATGGAATATAATCCATTGAAAACGAAAGGCACTTTTTATCATGCCTCATCAGTCAATAGGTATACGAACGATCTTCATCATTACCATATGGACAACGGTGTCTATATACAAGTCTAGGTAACGATGACAGTAGCCATTCCATGGTAAATCGTGAAAAAATAAATCCACTCAACTCCCATTAAATACGACTGTCGGCCTACATTTTATGTAATTAACATCTGATCTAATATATTACGTACCTTAGGCCTATGTGGTTGGCAAAGGATAGCCAAGTGTAGAGTACGAAAAGCTAAACAATTCATATGTAAAGGACAATCATCCTAGAGCAATGCTGATAAGCTACCGTCTCAATAGAACAAAAATTCCATGTGGGACCTTGCTATCATGTATCTAACGGCAATGTCCTCATCATCAACCACACCACAGTGCGGCAACACAAAATGTGCTGTACATACACTCATCGCTACTGACTGATTTGAATGTGTGGTTTAATACACATAAAAGCAACTTGTAGCCTACATTTATTTCCTGTAGTATCTGATCTAGACCAGGGCCTGGGCCTACACACACGTACGTACCCAGTCAGCCTATTTGTCTTCGTCAGGCCAGCCTGCATTACAGTACATTGACACGAAATGTGCTGCACACATACACTCATCGCTACTAACTAATTTGAATATTATGTGGTTTAATACACAAAAAATAAACTTGTAGCCTACATTTCCTGATATCTGATCTCACACACGTACTACCCAACCAGCCTATAGGTCTAGGCCTAGTTCGTCTTCGTCTTCCTCTAGCTCTAGGCCAGCCTGCATTACAGTAGTGTACATTGTGTATCTCTCAGAGGAGAGACCACCCACCCTTGCAAGCACCACAAAACGGCTCATTCTTCACTACCAACTAGACTCGTGCAGACGCTCTTATTAGCCACAAAGCTTACCATTCCAGGCCGTGATTGGTTGATAAGTGGAATATACAGGCGATTTGCAATCTGATCAATGACGAACACGCTTTCATAGGAAACCCACCGTAGTGTTAAGAAATATGATATAAAAACATACTTTTTCACATATTTCCTGACAATATTTTCGCAAAAACTCTTCATACTTTAAATTTCCCAGGCCTTATCTTCCATATTATTGCATGATCGGCCTAATCGTAATTTAAGACAGTGTGTGCTCAGACATGCGGTCTACACTGTACAAATTGAATTCCAAGAAAAGATTTTCCATCAATATCGCACATACTGTACCTTGGCTGTTCCATGGCAAAACAACGTAACTTGAAATTTACACTTCTGGAGAAAAATAGAGTTAAAGTCTGCATGTTTGCAACTTGGCAATAAATTGTTGTACCCTTTTGAAATTTTGCAGGATTGTATATCTATAGACATTATGATTATTATGTGAAATATTAATTATAACCGTTTGTTTATTGCAAAGTTATTAGCGATATTCTCAGATACATAGTTTTGCCTAGTACAATATATTTCCGGAATATATCGCATTTAGGGCAATCATATGCATTATCTAGTCTGGTCTGGGGGGGGGGGCGGATCCATGATTTGAAAGAGGGGGGTTCAAAATATTTTTTTTTAAAAACCAAAAAGGAAGGGGGGTCTGGAAGTCCTCCCCCGGGAAAATTTTGATTCTAGATGGCCGGAAATGAGCTTTCCCGACTTCTGGTGTCTTTTAATGACATTTACTGTAAGTTCTTCAAAATTCAAGGTTTTCCCCCTCTCGAAGACGGTAATGTAATTTTATCTCTTCCTGTAGAGAAAAAAACAAAGACATAGGCAATACATTATTAAATTCCAACAATATTGAATAGTTGTATATATAGTCTTTCTTCCATGGATCGATGAACCGACAGGAATGAAGAACGCTCTTTCGTACATAAAACAGTGTTTCTAATTTTATTAATATTGAAACCTAGTTGAGCTAAGCCTAGTTTGTCCCTTCTGCCAACCTATGCCTAGGTACAGTAGGTCAGCATGCCTTTTGTAAACCAGGAGGACCCAGTAGTATTTTATTACGTTTCTTCACAGAGGAGGTTTTGTTCGAACTCCCTGAATCCGCCGCTGCTAACTTGTTCATATGTCGATGTTAAGATTATTGATATGAAAACACAATTAACCAGTTGATTTTGTCTTGCCAAACTTCATCAGCTCAAAACAATTTTTGAATACCACATAGTTACCAATCTGAGAGATTTGAAATGTGTGCCTACCAGTTGGCTGGGAGTGGGGGAGATGTGGAGCCCGGTGGTGTTACAGGGGGCGAGGGCCCCTGGCGCTCCTACGATCTGAGCATTTTAAGCTGTTTTAAATTGATTTCAGTGAGTGTTTGTTGACAATACTGTGTCGTGGAACTTCTCCCCCTCCCCACGGTCGGGGAGAAAAACCACAAATCGTCGGAGAGAAGGAAAAATGTATATTTATTTTCTACATATTTAGTGGACTCCAAAATTGATTAAATAAGTATTGAAACCCTTAAATTGTCATATTTTTGGGGAAAATTTTTTGAGCAAAGCCTGACCACGCCCACTTTTTTCGTCAGGGACACCCCCACTGACAAATTTATGATCCCGCATGTGTTTCTGCAAAATGTTTGTTCAAACCAAAATCAAGTTGGAATGCGGGACTGTCTCGCACAATGCGAGACGGTTGGCAACTTTGATACCATTCCGATTCAAAACAACGTATCTTCATCGTAGATACGTTGTTTGCACTGTAATCTTGCAGTTACATTCTTTTCCCAAGGAAATTCACTAGATTTTAAGTTTTGTGCTTAAAGATAGTGCTATCTCCAAAATGACTCATTGTTGAGACCTGAAATCTTCAAAGGTAATTCAGAAGTATTTAATATACTCCCAAATGATATTATTTCAAAATCAAAAAAAATTTCAGTTACGCTGTTTTGCCTTGGGAAGACCAACCTTATTAATGCATTATAGCACAAAAATATTAATGAAGTACAGTACTATTATTTTCCTGTCGTGTGTATTAGAATAGCTAGTTTCTATAATTCCAATAATACATAAGAATGAAAACCATTTTACACCTACCAAAGAAGGTATCAAAACCTCTGTTTGTTGGGAGACATTCCTTCTTGTAAAAGCCAACATGCCATTTGCCAACTGCATGTGTTGCGTATCCTTCATCTTGCAATTTTTGCGGGAGCGTTGTTAAAGAAACAGGAAGGCAATTTGGCTGAGAGGGCCATATAATGGAATGCTGTAGACCAGTGTGTATCTGAGATAAATAATGAGAGGCAGGAACTATAAAACACATGGCTTGCATGTTGTTTTTATCGGTACATAGGGATACACAAATCCATTATTCTTGTTTTGTACCAAGGATACTGACTCACTTCCCAGGTGGGGAAAAAAATCGCAAGGGTAGTTTGTGCACTTTAAAAGTTCCCTGACAATAATTACAGTTTGTCTTAAATTTGTTTAAAATCTGGTGTATTATATTTATGGTGTTTTAATTCATATATGTTCCCTATCAAATGAAAATAAAGACGATTATCACAATGATGTAATCAAGACCACCTACCAAACGCATAACATTTTTATAACATTTGCGAGTGCTATGAATGCTGTGGTTAGGTAGTGTCAGAAAATGTTATAAGTAATGCAGATCTATAAAAAAAATGTTTCAAACTATAACATAAATTTAAAGCTGGGCATTATAGAACTGCATATGATGTTGTACATATAATTTGGACAAATACTTATTAAAAGTAATATCTTCTCTCAGGTGTTATATTGCACAATTTTGTCCATGAGAAATCTCAGGAGTAAAGTGCCCTCAGGCAAATTTCATTAAACCCGCCTTCCTGTATCATTAAGAAATAGAAAATGGTGATTAATTATATAAAGAAATTTTAATAAAATGTAAGAGAAAAGGAGATAAAAAGAATTGAAATGGAAAAGCAAAAAGAAAGAAAATAGAAAGAAAAATGCAGAAAATAGACTTCCGCGAAACTGTGATTACTATGCAAGTTCACTCACTTAATATATATATATGTATATGTACTGTCTCTTATACACATCTAGATGTGTATAAGAGACATAGATGTGTATAAGAGACAGTATATATGCTGAGTTGCTGTCGGCCAATTTATGGGTCGAATTATTATTGACCTACTTCCGATAACAACCACTCTCATATCGCCGCTTACAATCCCGTCAGCAAAATGTTGGCAACAACAACAGAGAACAAAAATTCACAGCCCCCGCCCCCACACCAAGCACAAGTCTTAAAGTCAGGCTTCGGAGGAAAAAAATTTTTTGATATGTTGTAGAACTGATTTTTCTGAGACAGAAAAAAACTTGTTTGACGAAAAACTGAGCAACGGTGAATGAGATACAGATTTTTGAATATTTAAAAACTGGGGGAATAAGGTGTAAAATGGGCAGTTACGCCCCTTTCCCCCAGTTTTTAAATATTCAAAAATCTGTATCTCGTTCACCGTTCCCCAGTTTTTCGTCAAACAACTTTTTTCTGTCTTAGAAAAATCAGTTCTACAACATATCAATTTTTTTTTCCTCCAGAGCCTGACTTTAAAGTAAGCTTACTCAATCGAATGGATAGAATTGCTAACCCTAGGAAAAGTACAGACCTGGTAGCGCCCACTCAACAACTGGCTCCTGGTAGGGGTGCATATCGGTTGAACATAATAGTTCTCAAATTTGACGCCGGATTTGGCAAGCTTGTCAAGATTTGGCGTACGAATTTCGGATCCATGATAGCCAATATCATTATAACCATAATCGTCTGCAAGAATAAATAAAATGTTAGGCTTATTAGCTGCATGAACTAAACCTACAAATATGTAAAACGCAGCTATAAACGAAGACCACAACATCGCTAACATCATTATTATTTAACACCAGCAGGATCATGTGGGCGATGCAACTAAATTAAAGGGTGAGAAACTATGTACCAACAATTCCCGTTGTTAATATAAATTATACCCTCACCATACACTTACCAAAAGTAATATAAAGTCAACGTTAGCCAAAATATGGAGCAATGAAAGATATAAATCGATATTTGGATGACAGAAATATGTATTTACACCAAGCCTATATGCACCCCTTTGACATAGTACTACATCCCAAATCATAAGCAAGTATCCTTGCTCAAAGAACCACGGCAGCTATTATTATTACCGACTATAATGTTGCGATACGAGATATCAAGGGCTTAAGTATTTCCAGGTAGTATTTCTTACTGATGCATTGCGGAGTTACCGTTTTATTTAAATAAGGTCTATTTTCTCATTTCCATGGATATTTAGCTCCATATCAATCAGATTAGGAGAAGAACCATTCGTTCGTGATATAGAAAATTCCGTAGAGGTAAGACTAGTTACACACAGCGAAAGCGTAGAGTTGTCTCAAACAAGAGTGAAAAATAATGAAATTCAGGGGTTTCCCGTGTGAAGCATAAGCCATACTATACTGTATGTAATGAGATGAGTGATGAAGATGTTTATCGTTGTCGCATGATCTTCCATAGATTGGCATTTTAACAAACGCCATTAATTTAGAGTATTTTTTTTGTGTACCAGTATAAAGAACAAAAATTATATATTTATTCTGGAGGTTTGTGTATTGGACTTTTTGATGATATCCAGAACTTCCATTCAAAAACTTTTGATATTTTCTTTAAAAATGCTGATTTATGGTGTAAACAGTCATGATCA